CTTTCTAATGTGCAGTTTACTCATCCTATTTGATTGCTTGGGGGGAAAATAATTTTCTCCCATTTTCTAAAAGAGAGATGCCTGGTGGGCTGTTGGAAGTGTGTTTAGGCAAGACAATATTATGAAGGAATGGGGTAAGAAAGAAAGCATGTTTTGTCACTGGAAGATCTCATTTGCTTCTTCTCTTTTTTGGATAAACCCTTGGCAAGTTAGAAGTGCCATTTTCTCATTTCAGGGAAAGAGCAACGAGTAAAAATGATACTATAGAATAATTGTTTCAACTGAAAAATCAGCATTTCTTTCCCTCAGTTCCAGTATCTTTGCTTTTTATTATAAATGAATATTACCTATCAGGTGCATAGAGAAAATTGAATTCTAATACTCAAAAGAACCATATAATTTAGATGTAGGCTGTCTTGCACATATACTCAAAAATGTCATACTTTTGCTCAAATTTTCTTTTCACTTTTTTTTCTTTGTGGTGAAGCACAAGCAATAAAAAAAAACCACACATACATGCTTTAATGGTATTTCAACCAATCATTACATTTGTTGATTTAATATTTTCTTTTACAATGTATTGCTTCATTTATTTTACAAAAACGGAGTGAGATACATTGTGATATATTTAAAATACAGTCTCATAAGAAATTACTCTTCCTTCTAATACTCCTTTATACGTATTTAATAAATACCCCATATAAAATAAATCTTTCTTTTATTTATGAAAGAGGTCCAAGCTGCAAGATTATGAACATTATTGCCATTTTATCTTTAACAGTTAACTTATTGTGTTATAGTGTTTCTAATAGGAGAGCATCAACATAAAAAAAAAGATAGGCATACAGGATATACTACCAATAAAGGAGAATATTTGTAGCTCAGGGTTGAAACCAGGGGTCCTTTGTGCTCTCTGAGCTTAGTTGCTTTCTTGAAAACATTTCATTACCCAAACTAGATAACTTCAGTGCTAGTAAGGAATGGGGTTTGGTTTCAATTTATATTGAGAGCATGGTAATAACCCCTATCAAGGAACTGCCAAACAAGCTAACAGTAAGAACTACCCAGACCACTCCCCAAAACACTTACAGGGCCACTATAATATAACATGGGAACAAACCCCACTCCCTGCCAGCACTGATAATGTTACCTAGTTTGAGTAATGAAAGGTCAGTAAGAAAACAACCAAGCTCAGAGAGCATCAGAACCCCTTGGATAACTTCCAATACTTCATATTCACTTACTTGTTCCATCCAGGTAGTTCAGAATCAGAGTCTACAGATCTTGTATGCCTGAAGCTTCTCAGAGCAAAAGGGAAACAGTCTATACTAGAGGTCCCCAACCTTTTGGGCAGCAGGGACCAGTTCTGTGGAGAGAGGTTTTTCCGCAGACCAGAGAGCACCTGGTTTTGTGTGCTGCCTGCATCCCGTGGGTGGGGCTTTGCTTGTTTGTGCGGCCCAGTTGCTGGCATGCCATGGCCCAGTACTGGTCCACGGACCGGGGGTTGGGGATCCCTGGTCTATACAGTCTGAAATAATTTGAACTGGTTTATTTGGCTGAGGGTATAGCCACTCTGAGAGCAGTCTAATTAGCTGATCTTTGGATGATGAAGTAACAAGATAACAAGACTGAAAGGTTTATAAAGGTGTTAGATGTTTTCAGTTTTTGTAATGGAATATGTGGATGAACTTGTGAAAGAGATGCTGCCTAAGAAACAATCAGACAGGAGAGGGTGGAGCCCTCAGGAGGTTAATAGTAAGAGGGGAAAAAAACGTAGGAAGGACCTACCCTAATTGATCAGATGGTTAAAAGTGGTGGCTGGAAGTTTGTACCTTCAGACTTGCAAGATTCTGTTAACACAGCCTTACAATAAAGTAAATTTAGCTTATCTAGTCATGCTTAGTTTACTCAGGATTTCCAATGGGTTCCAACCTTCCAAGAAAGGTAGTAGAGGTCACCCTTACCTGACTTGAATAGTTAAATTAGATCAGACTAGATTAGATTAGACTTTATCCCATTTCTCACTCCAAGAAAGTTTTAAAAACTCTTTTCTTCTTGTTTAACTTTTCAGAAAGCTTGTTGATGATGTTTTTATAAGAATAGGTCAGAGATCAATTCATTTAGGCAAAAGCATGGAATATGAACCGTATGTAGTATCTCATCATTTCCCCATGCCTCTGTGGCCATCATGGTAATATTTAATATCGTCTCTCTGCACAAATGAGGTATGGATGAGGTTGCAGCGTCATGCCAAGTTTTGGCTTAAGGTTTGGAACCAAAGCACTAGGAAAATGTAGATGAAATCTTTGAAGTAATGCAGTAAAAAATAAAAACATTTCCATTCTGGCCAGTTGCTCTCCTAAGCAGTGTCTTCGTCCTGAAAGGGAGAGATGGGAAGACAGAGAAAGTAACAAGGCTTAATTGGGTTTTTTTTAAATCAAGGACTACATATGAAATAAAGCAAAACATAAATAGAGGCCCATTTAAAAAAAAATCACATATATGTATTTACAGTTTGAATCTATGTATGTTTATGCATTATTCTACAATGAAAATAGATCAACAAAATCATGTTTTTGAGTAAAGAATTATTGATTTTTAAATTAGGTATAATTTAAATTTATATATTCCTTATTTTTAAAAAACAGAATTAATTTTCATAGGTATGCTTCTCAGGTACTAATTTTGGAAGTGCGTTTCAAAGATGAATTTTAAAAAATCAAAATAAAGTCATCATTAAGGTAGAAAATGCTAAACAGGGCTTTTTCAGGACAGATTTCTCCTGCAAGGAACACATTATGCTTATACAGTAGTCCAGTAGAATTCAACTAATTTAAATTAGTGTACCCATTGCAGGAAGATTCAAATATTTCTCCTTTTGGTAACTGTAAATCCCAGATGTCTTTCAACTGAGACATTTAATACATATAACTACATATTTAAATAACATTCAATGAACACAAAATGAATTTGCACTGAACCTCTTACTATAATACATTATCTCAAATCTTAAACATTTAGGAAAGGTGTAAACTAGGTTTGATACCCATCTTTTCACCTCTTTTAATTCCTCAATCATCTTTCTTCAATATAAAGTTCTTCAATATAAGGGGGAAAATGAGATTTTATAGAATTATGCATAGAGACTTGTTATTTAAAAGCAGGGTAACACATTCATGTCTTTGTCAATATATATAACTCATTAAAACCAGGAGACCCCCGGATTGCGCACCGAGTCGGTTTGGGGTAGTGCAACCCCATCCAGAATTATATAGTAAAGTATAGAACTTATAGTATAGAATTCATTCAGCGTATCTCGTTCAGCGTCATTGACAATTCACTACGAAGAAAATCCATCAGTGACACAGTACTTTAAAGTTTTTATACAGTAATTTCAGCAATCCTTCTAGATTGTATTTGTGATCATTAGTAAGCACTTTGGTACATACTGCATCTTTCAAGGGAATGCACCATTTGTTCACATTTGGTTTGATTTTTTTCACCCATAATAAATCCAGTTGACGTTTTATCAATCATATAAACATGCAACATTAAGAAAGCGATTCAATTCCCATTGTTAAATGACAAGTTCTTATCATAAAATTCTGGGAAGTTAAATTATACTTCATTCAAAAAGAGGAATATTTTGAAAACACAGACAATTGCTGTGGCTGAAAAACTGATAAAACAGCTACTTTGAAAAACTGTAAGTATTTACCATTTGTTAGAACTATTAACAAACATTTCCCTGGATATTACTTTTATCTATACATTCTGGATAAGAACACTGAATATTAATCTTTAAAATGTTTGTATTTCTCTGTATGGTCACACACATACAAGACGAAAACTCAGGCAATTCCAAAGTGTTTATTCTTTTTCCCTTTGCTTTTAATGCTGTCCAAAGTTTAATTTTCTTTTTAACTGTTTCTCTGCCACAAGAACCTACAAGATTTCATGTAACAGAGCTAGTCAAGAAGTAATGAAAACAAAAATCTGAGAAGATAAGATCTGAAATGGTAGAAAAAGTCATTCTCCTTAGTCTACCTCTTTAATTTATCTCCGTCCAGTTCAATCCTGGACACACATTTTATTCCCTTTTTCACATATAAAACACTTTAGAAGATAAAAATTACACCTACTGATAGCTAAGAAGAAACCTATGAAAAGAGGTTTCAGAGGTATTTGTCGCCACTGTGGTAGTGGGTGGGAAGAGTTTGAGGATTTTAAATTGTGGCTTTTCATTATTGTACACCACCCAGAGTCACTATGTGCGAGTTGGGTTGATATATAAATTTGTTCAATGATAAATAAATATATTGAAATCTTCTGCCCAAGTCTTAAGCTTAAGTTAAATATTTATGTGAAGCCGCTGGGAGAGATCATTCGTGGCTTTGGGGTGGATTTCCATCAGTACGCTGATGATACTCAGCTGTACATATCCACCCCGGGCCACCACAACGATGCCCTTGACGTGATGACCCGGTGTCTGGAGGCCGTGAGGGTCTGGATGGGGAGGAACAGACTCAGGCTCAACCCTTCCAAGACCGAGTGGCTGTGGCTACCGGTGCCTCGGCATAGTCAGCTGATTCCATCGCTGACTATAGGGGGCAAAACTTTGGCCCCCTCGGATAGGGTGCGCAATCTGGGTGTCCTCCTGGACTCGCGGCTGACACTGGATGACCAGTTGGCGGCCGTGACCAGGGGGGCGTTTTATCAGGTTCGCCTGATTTACCAGTTGCGGCCTTTTCTGGACCGGGATGCCTTACGCACAGTCACTCATGCTCTNATGAGAGAGAGAGAGAGAGAGAGAGAGACAGAAGTGCAAGTGCAAGTGCCTCTCTCTCTCTCTCTCTCTCTCTCATGGGACTTGCCGGAGGGCCGTGGGAGGGCCGCATTTATATAGAGCAGGGAGGGCTGCTCGAGGGCCGGATTAAACCGGGCCGCGGGCCGCAAATGGCCCGCGGGCCGGACTTTGGACATGTCTGATTTAGGCAAAAGCATGGAATATGAACCGTATGTAGTATCTCATCATTTCCCCATGCCTCTGTGGCCATCATGGTAATATTTAATATCGTCTCTCTGCACAAATGAGGTATGGATGAGGTTGCAGCGTCATGCCAAGTTTTGGCTTAAGATTTGGAACCAAAGCACTAGGAAAATGAAGATGAAATCTTTGAAGTAATGCAGTAAAAAATAAAAACATTTCCATTCTGGCCAGTTGCTCTCCTAAGCAGTGTCTTCGTCCTGAAAGGGAGAGATGGGAAGACAGAGAAAGTAACAAGGCTTAATTGGTTTTTTTTTAAATCAAGGACTACATATGAAATAAAGCAAAACATAAATAGAGGCCCATTTTAAAAAAAATCACACGTATGTATTTACAGTTTGAATCTATGTATGTTTATGCGTTATTCTACAATGAAAATAGATCAACAAAATCATGTTTTTGAGTAAAGAATTATTGATTTTTAAATTAGGTATAATTTAAATTTATATATTCCTTATTTTTAAAAAACAGAATTAATTTTCATAGGTATGCTTCTCAGGTACTAATTTTGGAAGTGCTTTTCAAAGATGAATTTTAAAAAATCAAAATAAAGTCATCATTAAGGTAGAAAATGCTAAACAGGGCTTTTTCAGGACAGATTTCTCCTGCAAGGAACACATTATGCTTATACAGTAGTCCAGTAGAATTCAACTAATTTAAATTAGTGTACCCACTGCAGGAAGATTCAAATATTTCTCCTTTTGGTAACTGTAAATCCCAGATGTCTTTCAACTGAGACATTTAATACATATAACTACATATTTAAATAACATTCAATGAACACAAAATGAATTTGCACTGAACCTCTTACTATAATACATTATCTCAAATCTTAAACATTTAGGAAAGGTGTAAACTAGGTTTGATACCCATCTTTTCACCTCTTTTAATTCCTCAATCATCTAAAGTTCTTCAATATAAGGGGAAAAATGAGATTTTATAGAATTATGCATAGAGACTTGTTATTTAAAAGCAGGGTAACACATTCATGTCTTTGTCAATATATGTAACTCATTAAAACCAGGAGACCCCCAGATTGCGCACCGAGTCGGTTTGGGGTAGTGCAACCCCATCCAGAATTATATAGTAAAGTATAGAACTTATAGTATAGAATTCATTCATCGTATCTCGTTCAGCGTCATTGACAATTCACTATGAAGAAAATCCATCAGTGACACAGTACTTTAAAGTTTTTATACAGTAATTTCAGCAATCCTTCTAGATTGTATTTGTGATCATTAGTAAGCACTTTGGTACATATTGCATCTTTCAAGGGAATGCACCATTTGTTCACATTTGGTTTGATTTTTTTCACCCATAATAAATCCAGTTGACGTTTTATCAATCACATAAACATGCAACATTAAGAAAGCGATTCAATTCCCATTGTTAAATGACAAGTTCTTATCATAAAATTCTGGGAAGTTAAATTATACTTCATTCAAAAAGAGGAATTTTTTGAAAACACAGACAATTGCTGTGGCTGAAAAACTGATAAAACAGCTACTTTGAAAAACTGTAAGTATTTACCATTTGTTAGAACTATTAACAAACATTTCCCTGGATTATTACTTTTATCTATACATTTTGGATAAGAACACTGAATATTAATCTTTAAAATGTTTGTATTTCTCTGTATGGTCACACACATACAAGACGAAAACTCAGGCAATTCCAAAGTGTTTATTCTTTTTCCCTTTGCTTTTAATGCTGTCCAAAATTTATTTTTCTTTTTAACTGTTTCTCTGCCACAAGAACCTACAAGATTTCATGTAACAGAGCTAGTCAAGAAGTAATGAAAAAAAAAATCTGAGGAGGAAGGTAAGATCTGAAATGGTAGAAAAAGTCATTCTCCTTAGTCTACCTCTTTAATCCATCTCTGTCCAGTTCAATCCTGGACACACATTTTATTCCCTTTTTCACATATAAAACCCTTTAGATTAGAAGATAAAAATTACACCTACTGATAGCTAAGTAGAAACCTATGAAAAGAGGTTTCAGAGGTATTTGTCGCCACTGTGGTAGTGGGTGGGAAGAGTTTGAGGATTTTAAATTGTGGCTTTTCATTATTGTACACCACCCAGAGTCACTATGTGCAAGTTGGGTTGATATATAAATTTGTTCAATGATAAATACATATACTGAAATCTTCTGCACAAGTCTTAAGCTGAGGGAAAAAGGAGATTTACAAATCATTAGGCAGCCAATCAGCTATGAGAAACTCCATTCTTTGCACCTTTGCATTCTGTATTGAGATCAAATAAAAACAATGATAATAGCATGAAAGGTTTACCAGTGAAGATTTCACTGTTTTCTTGCATTGCAAAGGCAAAAATAAAAAATCCCATTCAAATCAAGCTTGACTCTTGATTCGAGTTAGCTTTTATGGCAATGATAAAGTGATTTGTTTCAACTTCTTACTCTAATGTTCATCCCTGGAATATTCTGATGGTCCTCCATGTGTTTCTACTAAGCAGACCTGACCCTATTTCACTTTTTCAAGTTCAGTTAAGCATTGCCACCACTTATGAGTTATTATTCTGATTTCTCAAAGAAGTTTAATAATAACAACTGCCCTTTTACAGAAAGTTATTGATCAAAGCAGAATACTTAAAGCATTTTACTGTTATATGCACTATATACTTATTATATATTTACTCATAAGTTTTATCACACCTAGATTTATGGATACATTTTTTTTATGCTTACCTAGTGAAAAGGGAATAAATGCTTCTTTCTTGACAAACTGTCCTGAATTGTCCAAAAATCTTTCAGGACAAAACATTTCAGGGTTACTCCAGTATTTTTCATCAAAATGTACAGAATAGAGATTTGTGATTACAGTAGTGCCTTGAGGGATAGAGTAACCACGGACAACCGTATCCTTAGAAGTTGCATGAAAAATACCTAATGGAACTATATTACAGAACCTTAAAATTTCATGTAGCACCGCCTCCGTATACGGCATTTTACTCTTATCTTCTAGGCATGGTGTTTTGTTGGGACCAATGACTAAGTCAATTTCTTTATGCACATGTCCTGTTAAGAGAAAAAGCTTTTAGACTATATGTAAGCATCTACATTATGTGTACACCAAAACATTTGTACCTACATATGAAATTTCAGTGTACTATTTACTTGGGTTTTTTTTGAGATTGTCACTTGAACATTTGTGGACTATATAGAACTGGATGACTGCTGTTTTTGTTACTTTCAAAGCTTTTTCTCTCTATCCAGATGTATATATAAACTCTATGTAGATTAGATAATCAATCTGGAATATAATCATGCATCTGAGAAATAGCTCAAAATTCAGAAAGACTCCGGATTTGTTTTGTGTTCTTGCATTGATAAATTCTCTCTATGAACTCTGACTGATCTTTTTGATCCACATCTCCCTGAGACTTTTAATTGAAGATTTCATGGAGTATTCCCTGGAGCCTTTCAGTACAAAGTATGTGTTATGTCATTAAGCTATGAGCTTTCTTCCAGTTCCTAAATGAAAAAATTATTGCACAAGGGATTGTATAAGCTCCTCCACATTTTATCTTGGGACTGAAACAACATTCATTCTCATATTACTTCATTAAAAGACATTATGTTTAATACAGTAGTTAACTCCGTGGTGTCAGTTTGACACACCTCTATCTCATTATCTTGATTTTTTTATTAACAGAAGTTTCCACAAAATGTTTCAAAAAACAATTTCTTATTACTTCATAAATATATCAAATTGTATATTTTATTATAAAAAAACTTTATTTAGAAGAAATTGCTTCAAACCATTTTTCATATAGTAATTGTATATGTCACAGGAATCCCTAGGTAACATCTTGTCTATAATTATTATATGTTTAGTAATATTAAAAACAGAATTCATGGCATGTTTTGTATCCACAAATACTTTCCCCCAACTAAGGTAAACAACTTTAAAGGGGTATGTTTTCAACATTTTTTTACTCCTACAAGCAAAACTGTCTGACAACATACCATCTTTGTGCTCTTATAACAGTCATAGGTTTTCTTTAACATTTTAAATACTTTATAATCTCTTAACCAAATTTGTTGTTTCCTGATAGATTTATTCTATAATCTATTGATTATGGATTATAATTCTATATTCCTTCTGTAATATAATTCTGTACTGTACATTCTTCTTAGCATATCAAGAAATACAATTTGCCTACATAGCCAAACTGTACCCGTTTTGTGCTTGTCAGAATTTGTTTTGCTATATGTCAAGGTAGGGCAAGAAGGTATATATAAAATCTGTCAAATTCAGCATACAAGGCCAATAGTTTATATCAAATAATATTGATTGCAATTTATTCTGCAAAATACTAGTAGGAACTGATTAATACTGGCCAAAGAAGCCCAATTTTTTCATCAAAATAACCTCATCAGTGCAATAATTTGGCATGCCACTGTTTTAATATATCATCCAAATTTCAAAAATTTTAGAAAAAAAAAAAGAAATCCAAATTTTTAATCTGAATGTGGGCTACAGTATGGTTAAAAACTGTATTAAAAGATATGGTAGAAAAATGATGTTCTTAATTATCATTGAACGGAAACTTTTCATCGTAACAACTGCATATTACTTACCTTGAATATTAGGATAAAGAGCCATAAACAAGACTGCCCATCTTAAAACATTTGTTGTAGTTTCTGTTCCAGCAATTATGAGTTCTCCAACTGAATAAATTAAATTTTCCATTGAAAATACAGATTCCGGATCATTTTTATTCTTATCCATTTCATCTAAATATACATCTACAAAGTGTCGAGGTGCGTGAGGTTTCCTATTCTGTGAGAAACGCTGAATAAGGTGGAGTAAAAAAGTATAGACTTCGGCAGCATTTCTAAAAAGTTGTTGATGTTTTCCAAAGGGCAACTTACCAATCCATGGGAAAGCATTGTATAAAAATACTGAAGCGCTGGCAGCCAATTCAATATTTTCACTGAATATTTCCATCATATGCTGAAATTCAGTGTCTTCATAGGTAAATCGTTCTCCAAAAATAATTAAGTTAGTAATGTTTGAAACTGCATTTGTTATCAAGTGCTTTAGATCAAAAGCCTTGCCTTTGTAAGTATCAACGGCATCAAGAAAAATAACTGACTCTTCTGCTATTTTGCTTTCAAAGGACTTTTGACAATATCCAAAATTTCGAAAGCTAGTTACGGCTAATTTGCGATGCTCTGTCCAACCTCTGCCATATCTTGCATTCAGTAAACCTGAAACATGAAACATATTTATATAATTAACTCATAATTAACTCATATAATTATTTATTACAAATTTATTTTATTATCATCTATTACCTTTCTCTATTTTGTCAGATAGAAATTTTTTGCCAAAAGTAGTAAACTACTAAATATTGGGAACATAATTTCTATGTTTTGGTTCAATATTAAGTGCATAAACCACATTATTCTACTCAATGACTCAATTTTTTGTATCTATTTTTGTATCTATAAGAAGGTCATCACCTCTGGGTATAGGAAAATGGGCATTTTGACCAGTTACCATACCACATTTACCATAAAGTTCCAAAAAAGGATATTTTCAATGAAGAAATATATTTCATTAAATAAACTATCTTACTGTCTACAAGGTAGTCCCATTAATATAAAATCAAAAAACTATACAGGATCATATGGAAAAATGCATGTAGGCAGAAACAAAACTTCCAATCAATAATACACAGGAGGACAACAGTCTTAAAAATCATGCATTATCATAATTCAGTGATGCCAGCGAAATACCTGGCATCTATTAAAAAAAGAAAAAGTAGATTCCATTTGAAGACTAATTAGAGAAGGGTTCCTACACTGATGTTCTTATATAACCTTATGGTGAGATACTACATGGAGTCCTAGTAATGGGCTGGCCCAACTGATACAGCTTTGTGACTTGTATGTGACTCTTGATTTCCAGCCATTTGTCCTCAACATCTTTGTTCCTCTTTTTTCTTCATGATCATCAATTTGTTGCCTTTTGCTCTACTGTTAAAGACAGTGGCTTTTTGTGTTTTCTAGTTTTACTTCTGGTATCTCTGTCCTTTGGGCTATTTTGGCTTAAAAATCCATAAAACTTTTCCATTTATGCCCGACAGTCCATAAGATTAAGGTGCAAAGACCTCAGACGGAATGACAATGTGCGTTTAGGTTGAAAGCTTGTTTACTTTCTAAGCATATCCTGGTTGTTCTTATGGCCAAATTTGACATTTTATCCCTCTAGTCCAGTGGTGGCGAACCTATGGTACGCGTGCCAGAGGCGGCACTCAAAGCCCTCTCTGTGGGCACTTCTCTAAACTGCTGGTGGCGGGCTGCGGAGCCCCAGAGTGCACCGGTTGAGGGGCCGACAGGCTGTGGCTGCTGATGGACACTGTTGGCCCCCATGCACTCGCTGGCCTCTGTGTGCGGGGGCCAATGGTGTCAGGCAGCAGCTGCCCCAGCCCCTGCCTTGCCTTTATTTATTTATTTATTAATTCAATTTATATCCCGCCCTTCTCCTTACCGGACTCAGGGCCTTGCCCTGAGATAATGGCACCCCCACCCTGCCTCACTTCACCCCGCAGGACGAGCCTCCAACCCACCACCCCACCTGCCAGAGACCCCCTGGATCTCCCACAACCCTGCCCGGCACCCACAGGCGTCCCTCCCCATGAGCAACATCGAGGTGACCACGCCTACCTTGGCCACACCCACCCAGTCTGCCATGACCACCGCACCCATGCCCACCCAGTGGGCCACGCTCACCTGGCACCCGACAATAAATAAATGGGTTTTGGGTTGCAGTTTGGGCATTCGGTTTCTAAAAGATTCGCCATCACTGCTCTAGTCTATCTTCATTTTCCACCTATCCACTGGATTCTAACTTTTAGTTTTACAGTTTTATCAAAAGTATGTGAGTTAGGTTTCATATTATCTAGTTAACTTTTCTTTTGTTCAATATATCTTATGAAGTTTGGAGAATCATGTCGAAGAGAAGTGGGATGTAACACAAGTATGCACATGTTCCATATATATGTATGCATTGTTAGGGAATCTTATTTGGGATAGACTATTGTTTGATATATGTGGACCTATTTGAGACTCAGGTCAAGTTTCCTCTTCCCTGGCCTGGGAATGCTGACTGCAGCAACCTCAACTTGCATTGCTTGTACATCTTTCGTCTAATTCGGCATCTCAAATCAGGGTGCAAAGAAAATATATTCAAGACCCTTTTTTCAGAATAAAAGATAAGATTATAGACAGATTTCAAGACAATTGTTATGCAACAAATTCTATAAAAATCACTGATGACAACAGACATACCTCCCATTTTTGTCAGCTTCTTGAACAAAGGCAGAGAAGGCCTATCTGAAAAAACTTCATTTTGCTGAACAAGGCATTCTTTTATTGCATCATAGCCATTCAGTACAATAGCTGATATGCCTCCAAGATCAAGACTAAAGATCTTAAGAAACAAATAGAAAAAAAACTGCATATAAAAGATATATTAACAAGTATCCTCATTCATATTTTCCAAATTCCAGACAATTTCTAGATAACACTACATTATTCAGCCAATCCTCTGTTTGCCTAAGATTACTATCACCATAGTGAGTTTCCTATTTGTCACATTCCGGCAAAAAGTTATTTTGACTTCCCCCTCCCCTCACATCCGTGTATCCCAGCTCTCAACTGGTTGCTTAAAATGTTCATTCAAAACATAAGCAGAGAAGAAAAGTTGTTTGATCCTTATTGCATATTTTAACAGATTTGAGAGAAAATAGGATTTTGTTTTTTAAAAAAATCTAGAGAATTTGGAAGCTGACAGTTTTAGCTTCATACTGGAGAAATCAGTTTGGAAGACAATTTATTGAAACAAGTGGACTATAAGTATTCTGTTTTATTACTCAAATACTACACAAAACACACCATGGTCTAGTACAGTGGTTCTCAACCTGTGGGTCGGGACCCCATTTGGGGTCGATCGAACATTTCACGGGGGTCGCCAAGCAAGGCTGTCCGCCATTTTTTCCCCCTTTTCCGGTGGGTGCCTTACCTCCCTTGAGCTGGGCCAGCTGGTGGTCGGCCTGCTCTGTCTCTGCCGCTTGCCAGCTACGCCTCGGCCGGCGCAGGGGGCGGAACCACGCATGCGTGGCGCTCCCGGGCAGGGAAAGTCCTCGACTTATGACCAGTTGGGTAGTCCTCGACTTACGACCGGTTTAGTCCTCAACTTACGACCGGTTTAGTCCTCGACTTACGGCCGGTTTAGTCCTCGACTTACGACCGGTTGGGGTCGCGGCATTAAAAAGGTTGAGAACCACTGGTCTAGTAAGTCTCTCATGTTAAGTATAGTGAAGCAAAGCACAAAGAAATTACATTCTGACATGTATATACCACAATTATAAAATGATATATTCAGAATTACGTCCTGGCTGAACCAGTAAGTTAATCATATACAGACTATAGAGTGTACTACTGAAATTCCCTCTGGCCCTCGCCTCCCCCAGCTAAAAAAAGGTTGTAAAAATGGACCAAAGATCTTGGACATACTATAACAGCCTATGCTGCTGCTGCTTTCTTTTTTTTTTTCATTTTAAGCTTGCCCTTGCAACATCTGTTTTCAGCTTCGTTGCCCTGAGATAACAAACAAGAAGCAATCACTCTGATAAAGATCAGCAGCCTGATTTCTCCAACATGCGAGCCCAAACCGGGCATCCTCCGAGACGCTGCAAAACAACTCCCATCACCCCTACCAGCAAAATCAAAAGATAACCGGGGATGGGAGTTGTAGTGCAACCTATGCGGCGTGCATCTGACAGGAGAAAGCTGAAAGGCTGCGGTGCGAGTATGAACAGGCTGACGGCTCCCTTTTGATCTGCCGCGGTCCCTCTGAACATACTTCCCCGTACAGCTGACTTTGTCTCTTCATGTAGACGTGGGGCTGCTCCGCGGCCAGGGAATGGATATTGCCGATGAGAGGGAGCCCCGCCGGACCAGGCGGAAAGCCAGCCGGTCTTTTCTGCTTCAGCAGCTGCCTCACCACCAGCGCCAGCACGAGGAAGAGGAGAGCAGCGCCAGTAACCAAACCCACCAGCAGCCCCTCGGACCACATTCCTTGCTCCCTCTCCCTCCCAGGCCAGTGGCCAATTGTCAACACAATAGTTCAATCTCAGAACTCCCTATTGCCTCGTTCCTCCTTTTTTATAGGATGTCGAAACCGCTTGTCAAGCCGCGGCGAGCCGGATTGGTCGGTTCTTCTCACCCAGTGGCGCTGTTTCCCGCTTACTCCTCGGCGTCAGGATTCCAAATTCTAACCCGTGGAATTTCAGAAACTGGGACATCCAGCCACGTGTCTACTCTTACTCTGTCCCGCCCCTTTACTTTAACACAGGCTTTTCCAATAAACAAAGCGACTTATGTAACAATGCCGCGTTGCTGAGAACTTTTTTAAATCGGGTGGAGAACGCCTCTTAGAATATGTTCAAGCCAGAAGCAGAGGTGTGTCTTCTCGACACTGGTTTTGAAATCTAGAGAGTTCCTAACAACTTCACTTCTTTGGACTTTTGACGTCTCTTTCTGAAGTCTCTTTCTGAAGTATCCCGAAGAAAATGTGAAGATCGAGCTTTAGGCAGCTAACAGTGGGATNCAACAAGCGGGACTGGCCTAGGATAATTTTTAAGAGGGGTTTTTTAGAGGGTTTTTAATTACTTTTTAATTAGACAATTTAAATATTTCATTTTAATTAATTTTAACTTGTGATTGTTAGTGGTGTTTTTAATTGATTGTCAGCCGCCCTGAGTCCGCAAGGAGAAGGGCGGGATATAAATTCAAATAATAAATAATAATAAAATAAAATAAGCTGAGGGAAAAAGATTTACAAATCATTAGGCAGCCAATCAGCTATGAGAAACTCCATTCTTTGCACCTTTGCATTGTGTATCGAGATCAAATAAAAACAATGATAATAGCATGAAAGGTTTACCAGTGAAGATTTCACTGTTTTCTTGCATTGCAAAGGCAAAAATAAAATCCCATTCAAATCAAGCTTGACTCTTGATTCGAGTTAGCTTTTATGGCAATGATAAAGTGATTTGTTTCAACTTCTTAGTCTAATGTTCATCCCTAGAATATCCTGATGGTCCTCCATGTGTTTCTACTAAGCCAGTGGTTCTCAACCTTTTTAATGCCGCGACCCCCAACCGGTCGTAAGTCGAGGACTAAACCGGTCGTAAGTCAAGGACTAAACCGGTTGTACGTTGAGGACTAAACCGGTCGTAAGTCGAGGACTACCCAACCGGTCGTAAGTCGAGGACTTTCCCTGCCCGGGAGCGCCGCGCATGCGTGGTTCCGCCCCCTGCGCCGGTCGAGGCGTAGCTGGCAAGCGGCAGAGATGGAGCAGGCCGACCAGCTGGCCCAGCCCAAGGGAGGTAAGGCACCCGCCGGAAAAGGGAAAAAAAATGGCAGACAGCCTTGCTTGGCGACCCCCGTGAAATGGTCGATCGACCCCAAATGGGGTCGCGACCCATAGGTTGAGAACCGCTGTACTAAGCAGACCTGACCATATTTCACTTTTTCAAGTTCAGTTAAGCATTGCTACCACTTATGAGTTATTATTCTGATTTCTCAAAGAAGTTTAATAATAACAACTGCCCTTTTACAGAAAGTTATCGATCAAAGAAGAATACTTAAAGCATTTTACTGTTATGTACACTGTATCATACTTATTATATATTTACTCATAAGTTTTATCACACCTAGATTTATGGATACATTTTTTTTATGCTTACCTAATGAAAAGGGAATAAATGCTTCTTTCTTGACAAACTGTCCTGAGTTGTCCAAAAATCTTTCAGGACAAAACATTTCAGGGTTACTCCAGTATTTTTCATCAAAATGTACAGAATAGAGATTTGTGATTACAGTAGTGCCTTGAGGGATAGAGTAACCACGGACAACCGTATCCTTAGAAGTTGCATGAAAAATACCTAATGGAACTATATTACAGAACCTTAAAATTTCATGTAGCACCGCCTCCGTATATGGCATTTTACTCTTATCTTCTAGGCATGGTGTTTTGTTGGGACCAATGACTAAGTCAATTTCTTTATGCACATGTCCTGTTAAGAGAAAAAGCTTTTAGACTGTATGTAAGCATCTACATTATGTGTACACCAAAACATTTGTACCTACATATGAAATTTCAGTGTACGATTTACAAAGGTTTTTTTTTTTTTAAGATTGTCACTTGAATATTTGTGGACTATATAGAACTGGGTGACTGCTGTTTCTGTTACTTTCAAAGCTTTTTCTCTCTATCCAGGTGTATATATAAACTCTATGTAGATTAGATAATCAATCTGGAACATAATCATGCATCTGAGAAATAGCTCAAAATTCAGAAAGACTCCGGACTTGTTTTGTGTTCTTGCATTGATAAATTCTCTCTACGAACTCTGACTCTAATCTTTTTGATCCACATCTCCCTGAGACTTTTAATTGAAGATTTCATGGAGTATTCCCTGGAGCCTTTCAGTACAAAGTATGTGTTATGTCATTAAGCTATGAGCTTTCTTCCAGTTCCTAAATGAAAGAATTATTGCACAAGGGATTGTATAAGCTCCTCCACATTTTATCTTGGGACTGAAACAACATTCATTCTCATATTACTTCATTAAAAGACATTCTGTTTAATAGAGTAGTTAACTCTATGGTGTCAGTTTGTCACACCTCTATCTCATTATCTTGATTTTTTTATTAACAGAAGTTTCCACACAATGTTTCAAAAAGCAATTTCTTATTACTTCATAAATATATCAAATTGTATATTTTATTATAAAAAAACTTTATTTAGAAGAAATTGCTTCAAACCATTTTTCATATAGTAATTGTATAAGTCACAGGAATCCCTAGGTAACATCTTGTCTATAATTATTATATGTTTAGAAATATTAAAAACAGAATTCATGGCATGTTTTGTATCCACAAATACTTTCCCCCAACTAAGGTAAACAACTTTAAAGGGGTATGTTTTCAACACTTTTTTACTCCTGCAAGCAAAACTGACAACATACCACCTTTCTTTAACATTTTAAATACTTTATAATCTCTTAACCAAATTTGTTGTTTCCTGATAGATTTATTCTATAATCTATTGATTATGGATTATAATTCTCTATTCCTTCTGTAATATAATTCTGTACTGTACATTCTTCTTAGCATATCAAGAAATTCAATTTGCCTACATAGCCAAACTGTACCCGTTTTGTGCTTGTCAGAATTTGTTTTGCTATATGTCAAGGTAGGGCAAGAAGGTATATATAAAATCTGTCAAATTCAGCATACAAGGCCAATAGTTTATATCAAATAATATTGATTGCAATTTATTCCGCAAAATACTAGTAGGAACTGATTAATACTGGCCAAAGAAGCCCAATTTTCTCATCAAAATAACCTCATCGGTGCAATAATTTGGCATGCCACTGTTTTAATATATCATCCAAATTTCAAAAATTTTAGAAAAAAAAAAGAAATCCAAATTTTTAATCTGAATGTGGGCTACAGTATGGTTAAAAACTGTATTAAAAGATATAGTAGAAAAATGATGTTCTTAGTTATCATTGAACGGAAACTTTTCATCGTAACAACTGCATATTACTTACCTTGAATATTAGGATAAAGAGCCATAAACAAGACTGTCCATCTTAAAACATTTGTTGTAGTTTCTGTTCCAGCAATTATGAGTTCTCCAACTGAATAAATTAAATTTTCCATTGAAAATACAGATTCGGGATCATTTTTATTCTTATCCATTTCATCTAAATATACATCTACAAAGTGTCGAGGTGTGTGAGGTTTCCTATTCTGTGAGAAACGCTGAATAAGGTGGAGTAAAAAAGTATAGACTTCGGCAGCATTTCTAAAAAGTTGTTGATGTTTTCCAAAGGGCAACTTACCAATCCATGGGAAAGCATTGTATAAAAATACTGAAGCGCTGGCAGCCAATTCAATATTTTCACTGAATATTTCCATCATATGCTGAAATTCAGTGTCTTCATAGGTAAATCGTTCTCCAAAAATAATTAAGTTAGTAATGTTTGAAACTGCATTTGTTATCAAATGCTTTAGATCAAAAGCCTTGCCTTTGTAAGTATCAATGGCATCAAGAAAAATAACTGACTCTTCTGCTATTTTGCTTTCAAAGGACTTTTGACAATATCCAAAATTTCGAAAGCTAGTTACTGCTAATTTGCGATGCTCTGTCCAACCTCTGCCATATCTTGCATTCAGTAAACCTGAAACATGAAATATATTTATATAATTAACTCATAATTAACTCATATAATTATTTATTACAAATTTATTTTATTATCATCTTTTACCTTTCTCTATTTTTTCAGATAGAATTTTTTTGCCAAAAGTAGTAAACTACTAAATATTGGGAACATAATTTCTATGTTTTGGTTCAATATTAAATGCATAAACCACATTATTCTACTCAATGACTCAATTTTTTGTATCTATTTTTGTATCTATAAGAAGGTCATCACCTCTGGGTATAGGAAAATGGGCATCTTTGAGCAGTTACCATACCACATTTACCATAAAGTTCCAAAAAAGGATATTTTCAATGAAGAAATATATTTCATTAAATAATTATAAACTATCTTACTGTCTACAAGGTAGTCCCGTTGAAAAAAAAATCAAAAAGCTATACAGGATCATATGGAAAAATGCATGTAGGCAGAAACAAAACTTCCAATCAATAATACACAGGAGGACAACAGTCTTAAAAATCATGCATAATTCAGTGATGCCACCAAATACCTGGCATCTATTAAAAAAAGAAAAAGTAGATTCCATTTGAAGACTAATTAGAGAAGGGTTCCTACACTGATGTTCTTATATAACCTTATGGTGAGATACTACATGGAGTCCTAGTAATGGGCTGGCCCAACTGATACAGCTTTGTGACTTGTATGTGACTCTTGATTTCCAGCCATTTGTCCTCAACATCTTTGTTCCTCTTTTTTCTTCATGATCATCAATTTGTTGCCTTTTGCTCTACTGTTAAAGACAGTGGCTTTTTGTGTTTTCTAGTTTCACTTCTGGTAT